GCCGTGGAACCAACAGCAGTTGAGAGTGACACTCAGTCTGTGGCTACTCAGGGAACTCGTGACAGTTACAGTGAGGATGAGGATGCATGAAGGTTTCATGTTACACTGACAGTTGTATTTTGTTGTGTTGGGATGTGGTGCATGGTGCTACAGTGACATTCCTTGAACTGATGTATTTTGTATTTTGTTTTTGCCATAGCATGGATTGCTAGCAGTGACTTTCTTTTATTTCACTTGTTATACACGTGATACGTGATAATAAAATTGTTGAACTGTTACTAATTGTTTTTCGTGAATAAATTGAACTTTGTGAAATGGTTTAAGAAATGAAATTAAAATTTGTCGAGTTTACGGCGTGATGAACGTCGGGGAAAAGTGCACTTATTTGTATAACGCACGCCGTAAACTCGACAAATTTAATTTCATTTCTTGTAATTACAACTCAACAAATTTCATTTGATTTTATCGATTTATAGCGAACAAAACTAGTAAAATTACTCCGTAGAAAAGTAGTCCGTTTGCAAAACCTTGTTCATCGCCCAATGAACTTGGATTGTATGTTGCATCTCAGTCAATCAGAAAATAGTATTTGCACCATGTGACTTAGAAGTTGTAATTATAATAAAATGAAAGTGGGAGAATATTGCAACAAAAATGTATTTCAAATGTCAAAAATAAAAGTTGAATAAATACTTTATGTAACTTCTTTTCTTTGTCATTTCAAATATTTTTATTCCAATAATCTTTCATTTTTATTTTATAACCATATTATTGAATGGCAACAAATGTAACAATACATTGAAAATAATAAATTTTAAAATTATTGCAATAAAATAAAATTACATCTCAAATGAAAAGAAATAAAAGTGAGTTTAGGACTAAAGGTCCTAAGCTTACTTTTATTTTTTTCAAATTTGAAATGTACTTTATTTTATTGCAGGATTTTTTTCATTTATTTTATTATATAATAGTTTTATCAAAGTTTTATTGCCACAAATGCTGCCCCCCCCCCCCCCAAACACATACTGCCACAATGCCCCCAAACACTATCATTTGTCCACACTGTCACTTCCACAAGAACTAGTCAAGGAGCATGTTGTCTTGCCATGCAACACTCCCAGCAGGGGATGAACACCATTCCATTATGAGATTCCTCTGAGCCTTGGCCAATTTGTAGTCTCTGTTGGTTCCTGGTAGGTTCTCAGGTCTTGTGTCATCCAGATTCTTTCCTCGACGCCATTCACCAGGCACCAGGGCTCCATCAGGGCGTTCAATGTCAACAAGTCTGTTTTGCATGACAGGATACCTCGTGCGCATCAGGTTGTGGAGGACCACACATGCCTTGACAATGAGCCTAACCGTGTCTGGTTGGTGCATCATTGTTGTTAGTAACACCTGGAATCTGTTGGCAAGAATGCCAAAGGCATTTTCCACCACCCGTCTTGCTCTTGACAATCTGTAGTTGAAGATTCTTTGTTTTCTTGATAGCTGTCTGTTCCCAAAGGGCTTCATCATAAAGCTTCTCAATCCAAATGCATCGTCACCCACCAGGAAGTAAGGTAGATCTTCTGTGTCCCCTGGGAGGGGAGTAGGCTGAGGGAATCCAAGAATGTCACCGTTCTGTAAGCCTTCTTTAAACTCACTGGCATTGTAGATATGCGCGTCTGATGAGGCCCCCTTGCCACTCACGTCCACCCATAAGAACTTGTAATCACTGGTCACCACAGCCAAGAGAATAATGCTGAAAAAACCCTTGTAATTGTAGAATTCAGAGCCAGAGTTGGGAGGGGCCTTGCATGCTATGTGTTTGCCGTCTATAGCTCCAATCACGTGAGGGAAATTCCACCTGTTCAGCCAATCGTCTGTAATTTGTTGCCACTGTTCGGGGGTTTCTGGAGGTGACAGCATCTCCTCACGATATACATGCACGATTGCCTCACAAACTTCACGAACAATGAGGCTTATGGTGTTGTGTGGGACACGCCAGCCATACTGCATCTCCCTGTATTTCGAGCCTGATGCAAGGTGCCTCAAGGTGATGGCCACCTTTAAGCCTGGGTCCAAGGGAGCTCGCCAATTGGTTGTCTCCTTCGTCAGTGTTGGTGTCAGCCTTTCCACCAGTTCATCATACATCACCGGAGGCATTCTCATAAAGTTCTTGAAGGCACGGGGGTCCTCGTTCCTCAGCTCCACCATCAGCCTGTCATACAGCCCCAGCTGTGGCCTGCGGTTGATCCATTGGCGCACCCATATGGCTCTGACTCTTCTTTGTCTTCTCCTCACTCTTCTTCTGACATCCAGGGCTTGCTGAACCTGAAGTAGCTGGTTCTGATGTTGCTGGAACAGCATAACCAAAGCATTACGATGCGCCGGATCCATGTTGCCTCTTCAACGTCTTGATCACAACTGATGAAAAATGGCCCACACGCGATCTTTTTATAGCAGAAATAACTAGTGGTACAAACGAGATTGGGTCGTGGACGACACGCGAATCAGTCGTGGTTCAATCGCGATTCAACGCGAAAACACGCGAATGGCCCGCGGATGACTCGTGACACAATCCCTGAGGAAGCCTTTTACACGTGGAGCACACGCTATCACAGGTGGTAGGAACGCTGTAGACACGCGGATCACAAGTGGATGACAAGTGCTACACACGCAGTCACACGAAGAAATTTTGCGTTTGCCCGCGAGTGACCACTTGTCGTCCACTTGTGATCCGCGAGTGTACCACGTGTTATCGCGTTTGGCCCGCGTTTGTACAGCGTTTACACCACGTGTGCGACACGCGGTGGCCGTTGCGCCTAATTTTTGTGCTGCTCAAAAATAAAATCGGACTCCGTGCGCGTGTAAAATTTTTCGCGCGTGTGCGCACTTGTTATTCGCGAGTCCACCACGTTTCATTCACGTGTCATTCACTTGTGACCGCGCTTACTTCGCGTTTGACAGTTCTTCCTCGCGATACACTCGTGATCAACTCGCGGAAGCCTGTGTGACCGGCCCTTAACCTTTTAAAACTTTTATTGTATCTTTAGTGTTGCATTTCAGCACTCTTGGCGATTAATGTCTTAAACAACCAATTGATAATTAGGCTAAAGTTTTATTATGTTAGAATATTTATTTTAACATAAAATCCAAATTGTATTTTTTTGCCATTTTAGTTGTTGGATTATTTTAATGTTGTTGATGTGAAAGTAAATCATATTCAGATTTATAAAGTTGTTCCTGGTTTTACTGAATTAAGGCTTTCTGTTACATCAGCTTGCATCCTGTGCATTGCGTCGGAAAAGAGTCATTCGCTCTTCCCACAAGCATGAATCAGGATATTTTTGGGGGGTGAGTCATTTGTGTGTGGGTTTGGACTTGAGGAAAAAGTTATTCACTCTTCCCATCTTGGTGTTTAACGTCTGCTTCTACCGACGGCGATATCGCAGACATGTTGTCTTAATTTTTATTTTTATTATTGTAGTGCACATGCTTGGGTCTTTTCTGTGGGAGGAAACTGGAGTAAACCCACAAGGCTGAGAAGGTGCCCTTATCTCCAAGCCACCTTACGCTCACACCAGGGATCGAAACCACGAACGTAAGCCAGAAGTGACCAACCAACTAGAGATGGAAGCATGACACGCTAGACCATTAGGCCATACCCCCACCCAGTCCATGCCGTAGTGATAATATTGAAGGGTAAATATAGTGTATTTATAATGAATCCTGGAAGCCATACAGGCAATTGACTACTGAGAAAGAGTTATTTCAGATTTACAGAATAAACAGACAGGAAATTGTGAAACCCTCGAATATCGCTATCAAAAATTACTATTACACAAATATTTGATTAGAAAATTAAAACCATCCAAGTTGAAATTTGTTGTAGGAGGTGATTTCTGTGGTCGTCAAGGTGATCACCTGCCAGATTATATATCTACAGGAAGCGCCTATGATTGATGAGGTTTCTGTGAAGTGTATGAATATTTAACATGTGTTGAGATGAGATGGTGTGATGAGGTTTCTGTGAAGTGTTCGTTGACAGGTTTTCTCCTAGTAAAATATTCATACATTCCTTTTCGGATATAAAATGGAATGGGGTATAATGTCTCACCAAGACAATACCTAACATATAGTTAATGTCTCATCAACATGATACCTTTGGTTATTTTGGGACTAACATATGGTTAATGTCTCATCAACACAATACCTTGGTTATTATGAGACTAACATATGGTTAATGTCCATCAACATGATACCTTTTGGGACTAACATATGGTTGTTTTTAGTTCTACGGTTATGTGTAGAATGCAAGGGAGAGAATTTTGCCCGGAAGCAGCATTTGTGTCTAGTCTTATTCGAATTCCAACTGTCAAGTGTTTCATTTACATGAAATGAAATGATGTTCAACATCCGACTTTACTGAACCATTACAGAGAGAAATTGGGTTTAACGACCACTCAACACAAACTAGGTCATTTCAGGACTAACATATGGTTTAATGTATTTTCCTTAATTTGCTTGTGCTTAGTGGTCTTTTAGTAGTGGGAGGAAACCAGAAGACCCTGAGAAAACCCACAAGTTTGGACAGGCGTCCCCACTGCTTGTCACGTACAAGCAGGGAATCGAAACCACGCCATTTGACTCAATGACAGACCTTATGATTTTATGCGCACGTTTTAAACCACCCAACCCCCCATTCTAATGAAGACGTGCATGGTGTTACGAGGTAAATTTCTACTTCTGTGTCGATGAATGGCATCTGTACTGCAACACTGACAAGGGGAAAACAGCAAGGAAGGAACACCATCTAGTCATTCAGATGGGATGAAAAACTTCATAACCTGTGAAGACGTTGACATGCACATGAAATAACAATCGTAAGAGAAAAAATTTCCCACATAAAGGCATTAGACTGGTTGGTACAGAAGATGTAGGACTCTAAACCCCATTTGATTTCGTTTTCACTTCCTTGGGGCAATGGGCACAAACAAAAATTGTATTATGAAACTTACCGTTGTCAAAGACGACTATAATTTGACGGAGTAAATTGAGATCAGTTTGTCGTAGAATAGAGGTCAAAGTTCGAATCAGGACGGATCTAGCCTCATTATGGACTGTTATCACCACACTGACCGTGTCATTAAATGGAGTCGATGAATCAATGGTCGGACAACTGAAAAATAAAAATAATAAAATTTCAACTTTTTTGGTTTAAAAATTCAACTTAAAAGTCAAAGAATTAACTAATTATTTTGAGAACATATCCAACATTAAAAATGTCTGGATGAAATCAAGTGAATGTCACTTCCGGAGAACCTGCTACTCTTATGGTGTTTAAAACAATGTCAAACCTGGAAACTATTACCGTGCTTGTGTTCAAAATGTTAAAATCATCGACATCTATTTCCATCATTTTGTCTGGGTATTTCAGTGATAATTATATTTTGTCTGGGTATTTCAGTGATAACTGTATTTAGGAAAGAAGTTTTTTAGTACTGTAGTCACCTGAAGAACTGGGGAGCCCTTTCGACTGTTGGGATTCGATATAAAAGTAGACCGAAGTGCCGCTGTCCAAGTAAAATTTCCCTCATTCAAAACTGTATGTCTTTATTAGCCCAGTCGGAGCAGAACAGTAGGACGTTAAACCCTATTTCATTTCATTTTGGTTTAGAAAAATAGTATTGTAAACCCTATTTCATTTCATTTTACCTAAAGGATGAAGTCTTGGTCATCTTGAAACAAACACAAGGTATTTTTATTTTCTTTGGTTCTATTAATAAAGGAATTGAGTTCAACGTCTCGTTATTACAAATAGTTTGGCAATACGGGGCCGGAGAATTTTACATAGATGTCAGCATTTCCTTTTGGTCTGTAGTGGATTTCCAACTGGCAAGAGTTCGATCATAATATACACATGAGTGAACCTTAGTTAGAGTTAGTCCCCATCCAAATGACAAGACTTGGATTCTCTGGGATTCAAATCCAAGACATTTCTAATCAAGAGTCCTGTGGTCGGACAGCGTGAGAACCACAACGCATGGTTATAGTACTCATTAACCGATATATTACATTTTTGTCGTTAAATAAAAAAGATGGCTCCTCCATTACTCATCAGTTTTAAATACTAATATGTTGTGGGGTTTGGTTTATAATATGATTTCACAATCTATATGAAAACTACACGATGTAATTTCGTAAAGATGAAATTGATATTACAAGTTATAGGGTATATATGCATCATATTAAAACTTTATCAAATGTATTAAAATATATATATATATATTAACCAGCAAGATGCCAGAATTGGGGGAGATTTCTCAGTCTCTCCACTAGTTTTTCTAAAGCTGTTCCATACCTGGAAATTTATTCTGAAAACTTAAAACTTCAATTAAATATTTTAAGAATGCAGCCTTTTCATTGGTTAACACAGGTAACATTTGTTTTTTTTTCTATGAGAGAGAGAGAGAGACAGGTCCACTCGACATAAACTAGGTCTTTTTGGGACTAACATATTTTTCAATTTTATTTCAATAATTTGCTTGTGCGTAGAGGTCTTTAGCAGTGGGGGGAAACCGGCGGACCTGGAGAAAACCCACAACGTTAATTGGGCAGAAGACCCTACTCCTTGTCACGTACAACAGGGTAATTGAAACCACACCAGTTGACTCAATGACAGACCTTATTATACAGCGCGCGCACGCTAACCATTCGGCCTACCTTGGATCAAATTGTGAAAAATTGTATGTTGTCCGAAAAATGTATCAGTGGGATCAGCAACTTAAAATCATTTGTAAACTAAAATAATTAATTGGTTGAATATGAAGGCTTGAGATTTTATATATTGGTTGATGACTTCATCAAATTAATATCCATGCTTATTTCATTTTTTTGTTCACTCAAGAAACAGCATGGAGGAGTTTTATAACAAGATTAACATATATCTAGCAATCTGGTATCTTGTAACAAGAACTCTTTTCGTCTGGTCAGCCACTAAAAAAAAACATTACACGGTCGTCTGCCAGGGTCCAAACGTTCATCAGATCTACTTCCTGTTAAACAAATTATCAAGGATACAAAAAATATAAATCTGGCAGCTCTGGTTCACCTTCTTGCTATAAGATCTGGCAGTCCTGGTTAGCCATCTTGCTCCAAATCTGTTTAAATCATTGGTTAAACTTGATCTGGTAACCGAGGTCTGGTGTCGATGTGTCAATGCGTTGAGGCGTGTTATTATCTGTGGAAGGTGTTTGCCTTACGATGCGCCAGATTAGTTATAGGACCAGACCACGGCCTTTATAGTTTTAGTACTTAACTACGAGTTATTAATGGAGCAGACGGCTCTGAGACTTGCCTCATAGTCGGACAAACCCTCCATGGAGCAATCTAAATAAACCATTAATGAGCTCAAGACTCCATTTTTAATTAATAGAGATTTTTTTTCTTTCACGCATTCCCTATCTTCTCCACTTCTGTGTGTTAAAAGTTAATTAAAATCGTAAAAAAAAAAACGATTTGCTAAGAATTCAATCTTTGGTTAATTTGATCGTGAATGGCCACAGAAATTGATAATTAAAACATTAGGAGTTTTAGGAACAGATTCGTGTTGATGTTTTTTATTCTTCCTATTATTGGTTTCATTTTACTGATGAGAAATTGTCCTTGAAACTCGTTTTGTGTTTTAAGAAAAATATATGTGATTGTTGTTTTCTATGTGTTATAGGGATGATTAATCTCAAAGGTGCCATCTGAGATTCCACAAGGCAGACATATTTGATGTGGTTGGGTGGGAGGGGGGTCAAACATGCAACATACAGACCTCAAAATGTAGGGGGAATGGGGTCTAACATCCATTCCACACTAACCAGATCATTTGGGACTGATATGTATTTTTTCAATAATTTGCTTGGGAAAGAGAGGGAAGGAGAGAGAGAGAGAGAGAGAGAGTGTAACATGTACTCAACACAAACTAGGTCATTTTGGAACTAACATATGGTAGAATGATGTAGGCGGAAACCTGTGAACCCACAGACACTAGACCTCAATTCCAATATCAAGTAATCTTTAACAATGTGCCAATAGTAAACAAGAGACCTTAGGTTTTTATGTCCAATTGCAACAACTAGACACTTTACCATACCCAGGTCCTTCCTCCTGCACCACTGACACGGGGAAACCAGGCCAGTATTTTAAGAAACTAAACCAGTGACCGGTAAAATTCTAAGGTAGTTTCGTTAAACTACAAACATCTGTTAGATTACGTCACATCCCTCCAGAGTTTACTGTACCCAGGCCCTCACTCCTACATCACTGACACGAGTCCAACCTCGTGGGTTTACTCTGGGTCCTTCGATTTCCTCCCACTGCTAAAGACCCCTACGCGCAAGCGAATTATTGAAATAAAATTAAACCATATGTTAGTCCCGAAATGACCTAGTTTGTGTCAAGTGGATGTTAAACCCCATTTCTCTCTCTCTATCTATCTCTCTCTCTCTCTCTCTCACACTGACACGAGGAAACCTGGCCAGTATTTAAGGAAACTAGACCGGTGACAGGTAAAACTCTAAGGTAGTTCCGTTAAACTACAAACATCTGTTAGATTATGTTACATCCCTCCCGAGTTAAACATGAAACTTTAAACTAAAGTTGACAGATGAAAACACAATCTACTTGTAAACTCAGTTTAAAAAATTCTCGGCAACCAGTGCACCTATATCTCGTGATTTTATCTAAATTGGAGGAGGATTTATCGCAGTTGATGAGAATTAAGATAAGAAATAACGAACTGAAACGTACAACATTTCTACCGCTTATCTTAAATAACCTCACACAATTCTCAAACCTGCATTTTGTTTTCTAAATTTACCTTTTTAAAAAATGCAATCAGCGTTAAAACATGTTGAACAGGTAACCTTATCAGACTCTATCTTGAACAGGTAACCTTATCAGACGCTATCATCGACAACGCTCAAGATTACAAACATTCTGGTCGCAACACATGTTTTTAAAATGAATGTTAAAAATAGAATCGACTCTACTTTATCTAATTTTGCCTTCTAATTAAACTTTGACAGCACGATTATTTGTGGAAGTAAAGGAAGGTGGGGGGGGTGTGTGTGTTCAATCAGATCCATTTCCTTTCGATCTGACAATTCTCTTTCTAATTTATATGTGTAGTATAGTGGAGAGAGAGAGAGAGAGAAATGGGGTTTAATTTCCACTTGACACAAACAAGGTGATTTCAGGACTAATATGGTTCAATTTTATTTCAATAATTTGCTTACACGTAGGGGTCTTTAGCAGTGGGAGGAAACCGGAGGACTAGGCGACTCTACTCCTTGTCACGTACAACTGGGGAATCGAAACCACACCAGTTGACTCAATGACAGGCCTTATGATACACGCTTATAACCATTTGGCCATCCAACCCCCTGTAGCAGCAATGTATATATATGTAGCAGCAATGTATATGTATAGCAGCAATGCAAATATGGTTTGCAAGTGTTTGTTTGTTAAACCTTGATTCTTTTGTCTGGTGTTTAAATACATCAAATTCGTTATTTAACATTTCATTATCAATTTAATTATTGTCTTTGGTGGATGGGGGGGGGGGGATGGCCAAATGGTTAACGCGTGCCGGTTGATATATCAAGTGGCGTGGTTTCGATTCCCCGCGAGTACGTGACAAGGAGTAGGGTCGCCTGTCCAACCTCATGGATTTTTTCCGGGTCCTCTGGTTTCCTCACACTTCTTAAGACCCCTTCACACAAGTGGATTATTGAAATAATTTGTGTCCAGTGGATGTTAAACCACATCTCTCTCTCTCTCTCTCTCTCTCTCTCTCTCTCTCTCTATCTATATAAATACAGAATGGGATTGAACCATTTAAGATCAAACCAAAATTCGTTTTAGAGATTCTGCAACTTTCACAATAAGGGAATCAAAATCCCCCAAATGATGATAGGAGATTTGAACAGAAACTAACTAAGTTCAACTTCCATGAAGAATCAAAATTATGTTTGATAGCAAATCAATCAAACTGGAAGCACAATGTAGTAACTTTGTCAAATTGTAAAATAAATTAAACTTGATAGAAGACAAGATATTGACGTGAACCAACAAGGGAAATGGCTTTCTAATCATCGAATACTGCCCCCCAAAAAAATACTCAAAAAA